TATTTCTTATGTTCATTTTTAAATTTTTTTAATTTAGACGAAAGTTATGATTGTGACAAAAAAAAAATGAAAATTGTGATTTATTGGAGAAATTTTTTATTTTAGAGAAGTTAATATGATTTTGAACATTTTAGTTTGTTAGATTAATCAGTGATCAAGAATAATTTATCAAAAAAATTATGATTTGAAGATTTTATAAATATAAAATTATGATAGGTTATTGAATATTAATTAGAAAGTTTCAAATTTTTGATATATTTCATAATTATAGTTACTAAAATATCATTTTTAAAAGTTTTATATTTATTTTGATTTTTAAGTAAATTTTCTTTCTTTTGACAAAAAAAATCAATTTTTTTTTAATTACCCAACCGCAACTGCAAACGCTCGAGAGAAGCAGCTTTTGGATTTGAGAGGTTTGGAGCGATACTGAGCGGTATAAAGCATTTCCCATGATTGTTGTCAAACACCAACAACCGCTACCACCCGCATACGCTGCCTTTGTGGGTGGTAACGGGTGAACCAATCAACCCCTAAGACAAATGTGAACACGCTAGTTGGCACATAATACCGAAAAGTTATAACCAAAATTATCAAACTTCAATAGTATATAAAGGTACCTAGAGAAGAAGTCACATAGTGCAAGATTTTATGAAGGTTAGGTACTTTTTTCCTCTCTCGTGAGAACCCTAGCCGCCGAGCATTCTCGATCTCAGATTTGAAGCTTGGATAGGCGTGTGACAGCTCTTCAGTGTCGATACCAGTCCCTTTGTCTGTTTTATGCTCTGTATTTCCTTTGTAACGGCGTTGATATTGGAAGAGATTTGTTTAGGACTCTGATCTGCTTTGACGGTACATATCTCGTCGTGGTTAAGATCGTCTTGATTTCGTGGTGCCGGTTTTATGAGCGACGAGCGGGGTGCATGCTATTACCACATATTTGAACTGTTGTATCTTAATTTTGGGTCGTTGCCTCTGTTTTCCTTCAGGTCAGATATGGTTTTTATTCATATGAGATCTAGTGTTCGTGTCTTCGATGGGTTTCATTTTGGTGATGGACTATTACAGTCGTTGTGCATGCTTTCTCATGTGGACATAGACCTTTCTCCTTCGGTGATTCTCTTGCTCTTCTTGTTTTGTGACAAACCTTGTTGGCAACTTTCTCGGATGCTCCTGGTTTGATGGTTTGCATTCCTTAACCGATTTTTTATCTCTAAGTCTCGTTTGGAGTTCTCATTCGTGTTTACTGGCTTCGGTCAAGTGCTGGTTCGGTTTGCCGAGCTAGTTTTTTCCGGGTGTGACCAAATTCGCTCCTTGTTACTACATCACAGATTGTCCGAAATCTGGGTCTCTCATCATGTTTCTATCAAGGCGTTCCATGATCTTATGTTGATCTCGCCGAATCCGAAAGAAAGCTTCAGCTTCTTCTAGTGGAGTATCCTTGTCAGGTTATGAAGCCTAGGAATTCTATGTCGAGAGGTAGTTCTGATTCGCTATAGGAGGAGTTTTATATCGTTTGTTTAGGCCACTTCTGGGTCTCTTCGATATTCTTATATTGAGGCTTCTTCATATTGGAATCTGATTTGGTTGGTTGTGTTGATTGATTATCAGGTTTATTTGAAGTTTGTATTGCTCAGTTTAGGTTTGTGTTAGTTTGGCTTCTCCTTGTTTCATATTGTAGTTGTGTTAGATTCTCATTTGTTGGGCATAGCTTTTGGAGAAATTGTGTTTTCTACCGGCTTAGCTTCCAGGGTCGTTTATCTTATGCTACCTTTGTATCTCAACTTACGAATCTAATAAAATTAACCAGGTGAC